AACAAGTACCCTCTGGAAATGAAAAAAAGTATGCTGAATCCAGTACCTTGTCATCAAGTATATACTACAGTTTTGTGAAAACATAGTCTTTCCAACGATAAAATGACAAAAAACCCTTTGGAGATCCTATCAAGATCCTCTGAAGATCTTATAAAATCTGAAAATGATTGCATCGGATTCAGCATACTTTTTTACCTATACGTAGCTAGTTTTAACACAATTTGAAACAAAAAATGCCTTCGTAATTAAATATTTTCTTCTTCAAGTGACAAACAGTCTCTTATTTCATTTCCAGAGGGTACTTGTTCTTAATGGCGTTTCTCAGCGACAAGAAGGAACTTAGAGAAAGTAATACATAGTTTTGTAGCCCTCGAAAAGGCGATTGGAATGAGATATGAACAAAGGTTATGATTATTACAGTCACCGACTTGATGTCCTTGGAAGCCAAGGTCGCCCTGTTGAGCGGGAGTGAAATTTCTTACCCGGTCACGTCATAAGGGATAAAGCTCTAAATAACTTTTCTATATGCAATCGGACATGGAGAATCCAAATATGAAGGAATTAAGTGTTAGAAGTGCGGAGAAAAATAACTATACAGGGTTTTTGACAGAAAGCCACTTTTGTCCATACTGAGTATTTCAAGGTTTTCTCCTTGAAGAAAGGGTCTAGAATTTTTTATTCTTGTAGAGCTCGTCGAGCTCTATCGAATGATGTGTGTTTAAAGCAAATCTATCAACTGCTTGAAGTTTGAATGAGGCGCACCTTATATCTCTGCATATGAAAATGAAATATTGTACCCGACGCACAGTAGGCATTTTTCCATAGAGCAGGCGAACATCTCGCTTTTTTGAGTTAACTCAGCGCTTAACTCTGAGATAATACTTTTTTTTCAAAAATGTAGGCAAAACAGTGCAGATTCCGAATATCTATACCTCATAACTTACCATATAGTCCAAAATACAAAAACAATTTGCCAGCAAAAGACAAGGGATGATAGATTTCGATCAGAGTATAGGGTTTCTATATAATATTTTATAATATACTTTAGAAAATTGTTCTGAATAACAGTTTCGAATTCTCTTTGAACTTGAAGGGTGGCCTAGAAATCCTGACTGGATTTGTATCACCAATTTTTTTATATCAAAACAAGTCTTTGAAAAATTGTCTCGATGATAGGAAGATGGAATATAAGACGCTCTACAAAATAGCTTCTGGTTGATCCTCGCCAATTCTTATTATAAGAAAGTTATGAGCTTCGAAATGTGCATCATAAAAAATAAAAATTAACCGGGACATTTTAGGACCATGCAAACTTCGTTTTATTCCAAAAAATGTTGTTTTAATGATAAAATGTTTCTTCATCACGAGTCTTACAACTAAAATCATCATAAATCAGTGCTCATAAACTTGATTTCCATCCAATTGTACCACTTTCGCGAAGCGCTTACGTACGTTATCTAGCATTGCTTCACATTGATCAGGTGTGATTGTTCGCCATTATTAATTAATAAAATCAACGAATAAATCAAGATTTGAAACTTCTTTCCTCTTAATAATGAAAATGAGAACAGTAGACACCGCTTTAAGCATTTTGAGACGTTTCGTACTTTATTCTAAGTACATCATCAGTCACTGATTCGTACCTTATTCTAAGTACTAATGATGTACTTAGAACAAAGTACGAAACGTCTCAAAATGCTTAAAGCGGTGTCTATTGTTCTCATCTTCATTATTAAGTGTATTCACCGTATCCACAAAAATCAAAATGATTCAGTTCTTTCCTCTTGTTTTTTCCTTCAGGATTCCCCAAATGTTTTCAATGGGCCACACATCCGCAATTTTGGCATCTCCATCATTTGGTTTTATTTTTTCTTCGAAATGATCATAAAGAACGTCCATAGCTACTTTCGTTCGATGTTTTGAATCTTGATCATCTTGGAATATGACTTCGTTTGGATTTTTCACCACTTCATTGATTGCTGGAATAGCTTCTTCACGTAAACATTTAGCATACAAATCACCGGTCATGCAGATTCTTTTACGTTTATCAATCGGCGTTGATCTCGTAACCATTGAGTAAAATTGATAGGATAACTTTGAGGTGTCAAGCCTTTGGTGCTAATAGCTCCCAAAACATGACACCACTTGGAAATTTTACTACTGATGCTTCTCTTAAATCAGCAGGAATTTTAGATGAATGTTCAGCATAATGACATCATTTTTAGTATTCCGAAAACCTTCGATTGTCAATATTCCAGAAAAGTCAGTATTAATAATCTTGCCCCATTGCCATTTCTGGCCATTCTTTCTTGTGCCAAATTTTCGAATTAATTTTTTCGCACAACTAACACGTTGCTGTTTGTTTAACCCTTTACACCCCCTTGGGTCATTTTTGGCCCATTCGTAGAAAGTTTGCAGAAAATAAAGAAAGCATGAGATTCAAAAACTCCCAAGACAATATTTCTAGGGAACTCCATAAGCTATCGA